GTTCTACTCTTTAATTAGTCAGTTAAGAACTAGGTGTAGTTATGTAAAAAAATATATATATTAAAAAGGTTTTGCTTCCATGAAACATTTCTTGTTGCAATACAGTATATATACCTTTAAAAAATATACTTAAGAATAAAAAATGCTTCCTATATCAAGAATATTGAATAAGGCATTTTTACTATTGTCGTGCACTAAAAGACCAAACTTTAAAGAACTGCAGTGGATAAAAACGTCAGCACTTCTGAGTCCATCTCTGCGGAGATTTGTCTACGTGCATTAGTTTGGAAACAATATAACACCACAAAGACGCTTTAGCTGAGCGCTGGATATCGACAAATTTTTGATTTATTCCCTGCTTTCTGCTGCCAAGTGGCTTTACGGGACAGACACTCTCCAGCTGCAGTTATTTATTGTACACTTTTTCTCTCTGAGTAATGTGGTGGCTGTTATGTCAGTGTGTGTTTGTGTGAGCGTGTGTGTGTGTGTGTGTGTGTTACATGCTTCTGTATTCCCCAAAGAGTCAGCCAGGACTGCTGCTGCTGTTTCTCCTTATAAGGATGTCTGCTTGTGGAAGGAGGGATGGGGAAAAAAGAGAAAAACGGAGGACGGGAGTTACGGAGGAAGAGGAGGAATGAAAAGTGTGAGAAAGGAATGGATAGACGGAAGGGGGACAGGTAGGAGATGTTGAGGAACGGGGGGCCGTGGAATGAGGGGAGGAAGATTAGGAAGGAAGGGGGTCAGGAGGGATGGAAAGGAGGATGAGCAAATTGGAGGAGTGAGGGTTAAAAAGGGAAGAAGACAGAGGATGTAAAGAGGGATATAGGGCAGAGATGCACCATGGGAGGTATGTAGGAAAGGAATGTGATGTAAGGAGGCAAGGATGCAGCAAAGTTGCGGGGAATGAGTTAGAAAGAAAGGAGTGAGGAGAAAGTTATGACTGTAGAAAACAGGGCAGGGATGCAGCAAAGGACAGAGAGAACAAGAGGAGGAAAGAGTAAGGAATGTAAGGAAGGATGGAAAAGAGAGTGAAAGATGAAAGTAAGAAAATAAAGTAAAACGGTGTATGAAAGGAGACAAGAAGAAGAAAGGATGAAACCCAGGTGAACCTAGAGAGTTAAAATAGGGAGAAAGAAAATTGGGACACAGTTAACAGTGACCCATTTACACACACACTTCTTTTGTCTGGTGTGTGTGAGTGTGTGTGAAGGTGTGTCTTGCCTTTTAAAGAGGTGTTTTTGCAGTTTGTATTTAGAAAGATGTTCATCTACATACATCAATTCACAAAGTGACACAATCCTCCTTTTTTTCTCCATCCCGCTGCTGTTTTTCTGAAGCAGGAGCTTCTATTGATGTCGATTTGAAAGGCGCTGGAATAAATGTATGACCAGAGTGACCAGAAATAGAACCTGAAGAGTCAGCTGTAGGATTGTTTTCTGTGTGGGCGGCATCACTGCATGCGGCCGCGTAGAATTTTAATAGAAGATCAGAATATCTTAAAATGACGAGTAACATGCGATGTCCAGGTTTTTGACATTTTGTCTCTCTAATTAAAGTGAGAGGAATATATTGCATGACCCCATGGCATGAGAAATGTACATGTGTGGCATAGCGATAGTTCTTTGCAGCACTAGTACTTTACACTAAACAACATATGGGTGAAGGCTGGGTGCTGGGAGGAGTTTGTTATATCATAATGCAGTGGCCCCAGTTTGCCAGTGAGCTCTGTCCCGAAACGTGGCAGCAAGGTTTCTTTTTTAGGTGTTGTCATTTTCATATCCTGCTATTGTCTAGAGATAATTTTATGGCTGAGGGATATTATTTTTGCCATCATTTGTGTCCAAAAACACACTCCATGTTCAGGATTTAGACTTGGTTGTGGGACTGTAGGAAGCAGATTTCCAAGTGCGCCAATGAAAAAGCAAAGGCATGGCAAATTAGTTAGTTTATATATTACATTATTGACCATTTTTAAAAGAAATTTGCTAAATTTAAAATTAGCAAAAGGAAAAAAAAGGAGAGAAACAACTAAAAGTGTTAAACAGGACCTATTATGCTCATTATCAGGTTCATACTTCATACTGCTTATAAAAATAAAAATAAACATATCTTTTTCCTCATACCGTCTGTGCAGGAACACCTATATTCACCCTATATCTGAAATGTTTTGTTTTAGCGCCTGTCTGTCTTTAAGACCCCCCATCTTAAAAAGAGCCCAGTCTGCTCTGATTGGTCAGCATTTCCAGGTTTTCCATAGCTCAGTGTCTCTGCACTGTCATTGCAGCTGGGAAATGACTTTAACAGAGTGCAATGATACTTTTTACTGGGAAAAAAAAATCAATATTAAAAGCTTCTAAACCTAAATCGGATATGTCCCAGCAGGAAAAATGATCCAAAATTGTGGAGAAATTCACATAGATAATGTTTCCCTGACATCAGCATCTAGCCACATGTAGCAGTGTACATGCAGCCGGGGAATGACTGTAACAATGTGTAGCGCCCTTTTTACCATGAAAAATCACCAATAAAAGCTTCTTAACCTAAATCTTCACAACAGGACATGGTTCAGCAGGAATATGATCTGTAATCAGGGAGAAATTAACATAATCTGCAACCAAGATTTCATGTTAGCATGTAGCTACATCTAGCAGACTACTTGTTGCCAGGGAAAGACTGTAATGGACTATAGTGGAACTTTGCATCGTGAAAAAACACCAATATAAGCTTCTAAACCAAAATCTTCTCAACCTGACAGGTTTCAGCAGGAATATGACCCAAAAACAGGGAGAAACTAACATCATCTGCAACCAGGATTACATTTTCCCCTGATGTTGGCACGTAGCTACATGTAGCTGTGTACTTGCAGCCAGGAAATGGAAGTAACGCAGTCTAGGCACTGTCTACTGTGAAAAATCACCAACAAAAGAGTCTATACCCAAGCCTTCACAACTAGACATGTTCCAGTAGGAAAATGATCTAAAATCTGGGAGAAATTGACATAATTGATGACGAGGAAAAAATGTTTCCTTGACGTAGAATGTAACTTCATGTAGCAGTCTACTTGCAGCCAGGGAATGACTGTAACGAACTATAGTGGCACTTTCTACAATGAAAAATCATCAGTAAAAGCTTCTAACCAAAATCTTCACAACCAGACCTGTTCTAGCAGGAACATGATCGTGTGTTAGGGGAAAATTATCAATATCAGCATTGAAGATTAAATATTTCCCAGATGGTAGCATGTAGCTACATGTAGCAGTGTATTTGCAGCTGGGGATGGACTGTAGTGGACTATAGTGGCACATTGCATCATGAAAAGTCACCAACAAAGCTTCACAACCAGACATGTTCCAGTAGGACAGTGATCCAAAATCTGGTAGGAATTTACGTCATCGACGACCAAGATTTTAATGTTTCATTGATGTTAGCATGTAGCTAAATATAACAGTCTACTTGCAGCTGGAGAAAGACTGTAAAGGAGTACAACGGTTCTTTCTATCGTGAAAAATCACCAATAAAAGCTTCTAAACCAAAATCTTCACAACCAGACTTGTACATGCAGGAATATGATCAGAAATTAGGGTAAAATAATCAATATCAGCATCAAACATGTAGCAGTGTACTTGCACCTGGGGAAAGATTGTAGTGCACTAGTGGCACTTTGCATCGTGAAAATAACCAATAAAAACTTCTAAACAAAAATCTTCACAACAGGACATATTCCAGCAAAAATATGATCAGAAATCAGGGAGAAATTTACATCATCAAGATGACATGTTTCCCTGATGTTAGCATGTAGCTACATGTAGCTGTGTACTTGCAGCCAAGGAATGATATTCACGCAGTATAGCAGCACTTTCTACTGTGTTTCTACTACTGTCCAACCTAAGTCATTACAGCCGAACATGTTTAATTAGGAAAATCATCCAAAATCTGGGAGAGATTTACATCATTGACAACCTAGAATCAAATTTTCCTTGACATTAGCATGTAGCTACATGTAGCAGACTACTTTTAGCCAGGGGAAGACTGTAGTGGACTATAGTGTAATGGACTATAGTGGCAGTAACAACATCAGCAACAAAGATTACTTGTTTCCCTGAAGTTAGCATGTAGCTACATGTAGCAGTGTAGGCTACATAATGTAAACATGCCTGGAGCAGATGACCATATAAAGAAATCTGTCAACATCTGACATCAGCTTGTCTTAAAAGTAGAAAAAAAAACGTAGGAAACAGTATTCAGAGCAGTCTGAAGCCTTAGGTTGTTGCTCAGAGGGATTACTTCTACTTCCTCATTATTTGTCTTGGTTTAATATAAATATCCAACACTGTAACATACATGACGGAAAATAAGGAAAAGCATAGTAGGTCTCCTTTAATGTCCCGTTTCCCACTGTCTCATTTCAGTTTTCAAATATGACAAATTACACCTCTGCTTCCCTTTTCCTGACTTCTGCAATTTTACTTTGCTCTTCCTCTTTCTCTCCCTCATTCCCTTTCCTCTCACCCTCTCTCCTCACACCCCTCCTTTACCTTCATGCCATCACTTCTCTCTTCCTCCCCTTCCTCTCAGCTGCTCCACCCAGCTGTTCAATCACACATGGCTCATGCCTAAAAAAGCGAGAGAGGGAGGGATGGAAGGAGGGGACAAATGGGAGGAGAGACCAGGGAGCGCAAAAGAAAGAGTGGGTGATAGAGTCACAGAGACAGAGACTGAATATGCGAGCAGCGGGCTGAGTGTGAGGCACATGGCCAGTGAATGAGAGATCTTTGCTTCCACTCAGTGCGAGCTCCTTCTCCCGCTGTCTCCCCTCTCTGGTTGGATTACTGCTGAGGAAGGACCTCGTCTGGATACTCCTCTTCTCCCTCTCTCCTCTACTTCCCTCCCCTCTCTGCCTCTCTACCTCTCGCTGAGGGACTCCAGCTCTCAGTCTTCCCAGATCTCACGTCTCCTTTCTCCTTTCACCCTTCCTCTCCCCCCTGCTTCCCCCCCTTCAGGATGTCGTGTGAGGAGGCTCAGCTCCACAAAGAGAGGCTGCAGGCCTTGGCGGTAAGTCAGAGTGTGTTTAAACTGTGTGTTTTTTGGCTTTGCTCGTCTCTCTTTGGGTTTCTTTGACCTTCTGTCTGTTTGTTTTGCTGTCTGTTTGTGAGTGCTCTCATGGCCGCCCCGTCTCACCTTGACTTCAACTCTTTCTGTCATTCACAGTACAATATCTCGCCGCACTGTCTGGCACCTCAGAGTTCCTGCAACTCTGCTAGTCTCCCTGCCTCTTCTAGTCTTTCTCACTCTCTGTCATGCTGCCTCTGCCTAGTCACATTTTTCATTCATGTTGCACTCAAACACATGCAGAGGGTGTCTCTTTATTGAACTTTGACCAACCAACAGTAGAGGTGCTAAGTATCATGGTGACCCCTTGGCTGACCTCTTGTTTTTTAAGGTTTTTAAGCCAGTTACCTTAATCATATCAACTTATATGAACCTAAACAGAAGCTGGAGATAAATTGGCTCCATTACCAAGTACAAGAGACATCCAGTGTACAATGCGCACTCCTGCTTTACCCATGTACATTAGCTAATATTGTAGGAGGCTAAATGCTAACCCAACGTGACGAAAGCTAAGATAAACATTGTCCACTACGTCATTCCATTCTGATAAACATGATTGCATTATCGCAGTTGTTAGTTGTTAAATAAGAAAAGTGAATAAGCCCAATACACAGCATGACATCATAGCCCCCTACACCCATTTTCGTCACTCAAAACAAAGTGATTTTTGTTGCACCAATTGTAATCCGCTTCCCTCCCTCGCTATCCTTCTGCACCGCGCTGCTGCTGTTCGTGTCAGCTTTCATCTTCTTCCATGTCTTTTTTTTTATTTATTTATTTTTTTTTTATTTGGGGTAAAACAACTCAGAGGAAAGTTGGTGGAAAAACCAGCTCTGTGTTTTTTTCTTTTTTGGCCAGATGTCTGAGGTTTTTAGGTGTATGCGCTTTCCAAGGTGTAATGATCTCAGCTGCGAGGTGGTCCAGAATACGTTTTGGAGACTCGCCGTTGTGTTTCGCAATCACGGGGGCATCTGTTGGAAGTGTTTGGCTCAGAGCTAATAGGACTTAAGAGCAAGATTTAGACCAGGATTCACTGCCTGGGACTAAATTTGGCGCCAGCGAGTAACCACAGCATACCACACACACACTCACAGAGGCACAGGAACACACACACACACACACATTCATGCACACAAGTGGGGTGAACAGCAGCAGCAGCAGCAGCAGCAGATGGAGAAACTATTTTGGCCACGTTGAGACATGGCAGCCATACCAGGCTGCATGTACTTAAAGAAGAGTGGAAAGTTCTCACACACTTTTCAGGAGAGGAACAAGCGTTTCTGTTTCTTGCATCACTCTTACATTTGGCAAAGCACTACAAAATCATTAAGTTATCATTTAAATGAGTTTTGGTTTGGTGCACAGGGCCAAGAATGACAACAAATGTTGCAAAATATTCTGGTGGCAGCTGTCGCACACACTACAAAGCATGCTCTATGTAGTCTAACTATGTAGGTCCTACTGGAAGTGCCAAGAGCTTCGACTTAAAGTAGAGTCAGCTGTTGAATACAAGTAAATCATTTGAGCCTGTTTGTCTCCTTCAAATGAGCATCTGTCTTGTCTCAGCTGTGTGTGTGTGTGTGTGTGTGTGTGTGTGTGTGTGTGTGTGTATATACACTATATCAAGGACAATATGGGCACTAATAGCTTTCAAGCCCTACCAGGCACTTAAATAGAGAAGGGTTACTATTACACTAATAGTGCTAACAACTCTCCGAGGCAGCTAAGCACTCTGTAAGCCACAGACTCAGCCAAACAGTGCAGGAACAGTGTAAATACAGAAGCTGGACGAAAACTCCCAGAGCATCTCAAAGAGAAGGGGAAGGATTTACTAAAACCTCTTCTGATTGTCAATGAAGAGCGAGCATTTTCGAAACCAGTGCCGGTTTCAGCGCACAACAAACACTGGATTAAAAGTCAAGCAAAATGTATAGTATTTGTATAGTATTTTCTTCTGTCTGACTGACTAAGTACTACCGAACCCCTGCAGAGATGCAGGGATACACTCCTACTCACACTGTCTCGGGTCTGCAGCTGACATGCTAATGATTTCATCAATAATTGATACTCTGAGACCTCATCAATACTTTAGCAGAGCTCGAGCCAAATTGGAAGCTTCCGCTAAAATCAGAGCCAAGTGTCATCTCTCCGTGTCTGAGCCGTCTGAGCAAACAGCTACTGGATCTGACACTGATTTCAATAAACATCACCTCATGTGGACTTTGAATTTGGGGCTCCTTGCCGTGCTTTATCTATTGAACTGGACCAAAAGAGATCACTGTCAGGTAGCAGACAGCTGTCATTATGATGTTAATTTACCGCAAAGCTGGGTCTATGTGCTGTGTGGCTCATGAATAAAGCATGGAGGTAATGGCTGTGAATCATCAGACCTTAGCAGAAAGGACGGCATACCTATCTGCTCAATCACAGCATTTGAAGTGAGTTAGTGTAGTAGGAAATTACAGAATTCATTGACTTGGATATTTCTTCACAAATGCTTAAAGCACATTATAAAATGACTTGGTTCAAGTTTCATGCAGTATCTCTTATGATTTCGTTCCCATATGTAGCTTTTTGTGTAAATACTTTTCTGTAACTTACTAATTATTGAAGGACCAAGAGAGCAATGAACCCTGAGAGGCATCTTCCCCTTCCTGCACAATGTTTTTTTACAGTAGTTTTACTGCTGCATTTTTTTCCCCGCATCTTATCATGTGTTGAACTTAAAGGGGAATTCCAGTATTTTCCACCCTGGACCCTATTTTCCCATGTTTCTGTGTGTAAGTGCCTCGTGGGAACAGCAATTTTTAAAATTGGTCCATTATCGAGAGAGGGGGCTGCAGCCTGCAGCACAGATACAGGTTAATTCTCAAGTCTCGTTCTGGAATTGGAATCAGCTAACATTGGATGAGATACCTTTTATGTACTCCAGCAGAACAAACTATTACCAGCAAGCCTCTCTCCAACTCTCACTTGAGTTTCTACCATTGTCCTCCGGCAACAGGTCACCTCTCGTGAGAATTCAGATCAAGACTTGGACACAAAATAGGTCAGGTATGAAATTGGAAAGGTATGAAAAACTGTAAGGTCCTTTCTATAATGTTATAGGACATGCATCAAATCAGTGCCGTACCTACAGCGTAGGCTCTGCATCGACGTACCCTACGCCGTAGCCTGACCTCCCCAGAAATGTAACTATATGTCACAGCGACACAGACCTCCTGTCTGCTTTTGTAAGCTGAAACCATTTCCCTCAGTGGAAACAAAGCTTTTATTTACTTTAATTTCACAGATAAGAAACAATAAATTGTGAAGACAATAAAGCCTCCACAAAAATAGCATTTTAAGTCTTGTGTGTGATTTATCCTGGCTTCATATGAGCAGAGGAAATCTCCGCTCGTTGCTAGGCTAATTTATACAATGTAAAATGCCAAAGCCTTGTGCTAATAACATTAGCATGTTATATTAGTTTGGAAAACATGTTTAGTATAAGACAGTTGTTTTGTTGGTGAACCTTGTGAGTTGTAATGGAGCCAAATTATGTTATGTTACGTTACGTTACGTTATGTTACCTTTGTTAAATGTTGCTGTTGTCCCTGGCTTCATATGAGTAGAGGAAAAGTCTTCTATCTGCTATGCTAATTTATTCAATGTTAATTGCCATAGGTTTGTGCTAATAACATTAGCATGTTGTATTTGTGGGGAAAATGTGTCCAGATAAAGACAAGTGTTTGTCTGTGAATGCTGCGAGTTATAGTGAAGCTGATTTGTGTACTTGTGTTTGAAATTGTCGCTATTAACCCATGTTTAATGTGTGTTTTGAGTGTGGTTGAATCAACTAAACTTTACAGCCCTTCACAGAAACCCAGCAGCCAACTAGTGTTTTGGAGGTGTAACTGCAGAGTGACACAAACTCACCACCGCACAAGTATAAATGCTCACAATGGCGTAGGCCATGTGTGTAGGCTATGGCGTAGGCTCTGCATCGAGCTGACGCACAAGTACAAAGCCTGCTTTAGTGGTTAAAACAACCGCTTTTGATGGATGTAAATTGGCAGGGCACACATGCCTCAAGTGGTTACACTGCAGCCCTCTCTGCTAATGATCTTCCAATTTCAAAAACTGTTGTTCCCATTAGTCACCTAGACACAAAAACATGGTAAAATAAGGGCCAAGTTGAAATATACCAAAGTTCCCCTTTAACTAAACTAAACTTAAAATGAATTTGAGTTTTGTGAGTTACTACCATCCAAACTGAAACAATGTATCCCTGATTGGTTCGGTTTCTGTAAAATAGGATGACTTAGAGCATTAATCACTTGGTACAACAAAGGGTGGGATATATGCCAGTGTTTAATCTAAGAGTTGATTAGTCAATTGGCTCATTTGTCCATCACATACTAACAGACAAAGATTCCCACAGTCTGATAGTGATTACGGCCTGTCAGCTGCCAGCAGTGCAGAATTCCATGGTTACTAATTGGTTAGATTAGGGAACAGTTGTGATGTCATGTAGTTAAATCCAGACCTGTAATTGGTATATTATTAACATGTAATTATAGCCGTTGGATGGCCTGGTCAGGGTTCCCCAAAATCGTGTGTGTGCATATATATGCGGGTGTGTGTGTGTGCATGTGTGTTTATGTCTGTGTGTTTTCTGTAAATTTGTGTGTGTTCACCAAAACCCTGTGTGGTTTTGAGCTCAGCCAATGAATGGCGAGCGCTTCAGCTTTCTAATTAGCTGTTGCCCATGTGGCCCGCCGACCGCACACAGCATGGCAGGATGCATATACAAAAGTGTATGTGCGTGTGTGCATGTACTCATTCAATGAGTTCTCTGTAGTGTGTGTGTGACATGTTTACACAGATGACCTCAGCCCTTTGGACTCTTTGCTACCCCCAACACACACAGTGAAGCACACACAAGGCCGCAGATCGTCTGG